GCTCTCCTGCCTCACACAGGAGCCTCATGTTGTAGTCTTAGAGGTAGAGGCAGCACATAGATCAGCGGCCCTTGTTTAAGAATCCCTCCAGGCAGTTAACAGATGTGACCTTGAGCAGGGTCTGTAGTCTGTCCTTTTCATGTTCCAATTCCTTCTGGCCTTCTCTGGGTAAAAACATTTCACTTTTAGGCCCATGAACTGCAAGGCGTGCCCAACAACAAGACAACTTCTATAAACAGAGCTTTCCACACACTTTGTTAATAATTCGTATACATATGCGGCTTTGAAAGAGGGAAGGACAAGCACTGAGCGATGTTTTGAGCACTTTTCTGATCGCTGTGTGACAGTAAGAACACCCCCCCTTCCACCACACCCTGAAGACCTACAGCACAGCTGAACCGCCTCTCCATTGTGATCGCATAAGGGTGCAGTTAAAAAAGAATATTCTATTAAACTCCCCTGAAGCACAATAAACAGAATATTACATTAAAATACAAAACAACAAGTAGCTCAATGAAAAAGACGTGACAGTGATTGGATCAACAAGGAACAGACTTGGCATTAAGAAAATCATCGAAGATAAAGACAGAATGCGGTGTTTTAAAATGTGGTTGACAGCCTGGTTTTAACGCCATGCATCCATTTGTGAAAGCCGGTGCTGTTTTGCATGAGAGCATCAACAAAGAAAAGCACTTGAGAAGCAGGCTTAAGCTTCCACAGGTGTCTTGACGTCGGGCCAAGATGTATTCTTTTCCAAACCGTGCCTCTCCCAAGCACTGCTCAGCTTTCATACCTGTCAAAAGGTGACTCTTTAGTGGTTTGGGCTGGATAGATTGGATTGTCTCAATGGCTCTGCCAGAGAGGTTTCATGACAAGAAGCAGTTCTTCTGCTGTTGGACACATCAAAATCTTGCCATTGCCACACAGGGTCTCCAGTCACCAAACGTCAGATTGGACTCTAACTTTTTTGTATTCACTGCAATGCTATTATCGTTTTGATTCTTGGACTTTGGTTCTTGAAGGCATATTTTCCCCCGTGTTCTGTACAGTACTGCTCAGCTGGACTGCTCTGTGGCAGGCCAGGTAGAGGAAAGGATGTAATTACAGCTAATACACCACGAGAGGCCACTACATGGCCTCTAATCTTTGTACACTGTACCAGCCACAGTGGGGATTAATTACAATATGTAATTATTAGTTAATTGTTCAAGGGTTTAGGAATTCACACTCACAAAAGTAAATAGGCTTTAGTTTGGTATTTAAAGGGAGCGCACAGTACTAGCGGCGGTTGGGATTTGTTTTGTTTCAACAGAAAAGATGGAATTTCACTTCTGCAGGCCATCGTGCCTGAAAAGGGCAGGATCTGTCACAGTATCATTAGAGGGTCTGCTTGCCTACCTGAAAGTGAAAATTACTGTGGACCTACCAGCCCAAGACACAGCGCTCTGGTCCCATTTGAATTTAGATCCCAGCTTCTTAAAAGTCCCCCCTTAATTCCGCAGCTGATGTCATTTTCCACCTGATCTGCTGTGTACAGTATGCACTTCAGTGATGGATGAAGTGGGTCCCTCTTATGGGCAGAGCACTCTGGGATTCTGTTGAATGAAAAGCATCACATGAAGGCAACAGTAAGCATTCCATTAGTACCATCATGAAAGGCGGCTGTACAGAAGAAAGGGGGAGGGGAAAGGGATCAAAAGGGCATTTGTTGTCCAGTCCATTGGCCCCCCAGCCCTGACCCTAGAGGAACACCGTCTCTCCCGGATCTCCTCAGCTTGCTGATGTATGTCTGACCTTTGCTAGTTGATCAATTGATATCATCAACTGGGACATGGATGGATACCGATGTCAAATCTGATTTGTTCCTTAAAGAACTGAAGGCAAAATTGACCAGAAATGCCCCAAACAGAAAACTGAAATCACTTAGCCTGTGATTAATCACTTATCCTGCTCTATTGGCACGACATGAAGAAAGAGGAATTGTACATACAATACAATCAAATGCAGCTCTGGATCCTAGGATTATTATTTTCTTGCCAGATTTTGTAAACGGGGCAGATGTGTCTGTTTACACACCACATAAAACAAATAAGAGATGTTAAATAGTTTCAGATTTTGTTCCACACATTCCTATGCACAAAGCGTTGTTTTCCAGGACTGATACGATTTTATTCTTATAGATAAAGTCCTGTAGTACATGAGAACGACATGATCTTTCTGCCCTGCTTTCAGTCTCCTCTTAAGAAGGGAATCTGAGCGCATCTTTCCAATGCGCAAGTGTTTTGCATTTTCTAGGAATGGGCAGCGAAACTAACCACATGGAATATCATGGAAAAACACCACAGATATTTCTTTGTTTGCATTTTGGTTCTTTTGTTTCCCTCTATAACAGCGGCATCTCATTCCACATGAGCTACAAAGGGGAGGTGGTTTCCCAGGGTTCTGCTGGGAAGACGCTTTCATGTGAAAATGAATTCTCCCCTTCTCCCTCCGCCCCTCTGCTGTGGCAGAAGATGATGGATTTCAGAATATCTGCCATTAGCTAGCCCTGTTTGGTGTAAGCGATCTCCCTTTCTAATCCTGAAACGTACATCCCTGTGCAGAGTGCACGCTACGCCCCAGCTGACAGAAAGCAGACGCGCCTCCTGAGCAGGGGGGGGGTTCAGAGGCTCGGACTGGGACGGGCTGACTCACAGAGGCCGGAGAAGGAGAAGACTCCCTGTGGGAAGTTCACTCTCCCCGACCTCCCCCTTCTTTAAATCCTCCACGACCATCTTTCCATCAGCCGCCAAGTCCAGAAGGCAGGACTGGAACGCACGCCTCGTCCTTCACGATCACCTCCTTATCCTGCTTCTGCGTTAGATCTGGAGTGCGCTTCAAAGAACGGGCAAAACATTTCGTCCACGGATAAAACGTCTGGCATTCCTCGCTCAGCATGTGTGTGTGTTGAGTTAACATGGTAAATCTGCTCTGAGAGAGGAAGAGAGATGCAGGAATTCCCAAGAATGACCCTATGACTCAGATCCCAGCCCTCTCGGTCCGGGCGGAGAGCTCTCTGGGAGTCGGGGATTCGAAGTGCGCAGAGCAGAGGAGGGGGAGTCAGTGTCCTCTCTGGGCAGTCTAACACAGCTCTTCTGGCCTGAGGCTGAATAACAGGTTGCTACTCCATCCCAGCTAAGAACTATCCCAGAGTATTGGACGATCCCCTGCTTCACCTGGTAAAACCCAACTGGGCTTAAACTCAGGGTTCAATGTCAGGTGATGGTTAGGTCCGACAGAGGGTTGAGTTTGGGACAGGACCTGTGTACAAGTACAGCAGGTGTCTCCATCTGGGTGGAGAGATTTGAAGGGAGAGAGTTTTTAATACGGGCCTGGATGGCTGTGTGGCTAGAAGGCCGCCAATGAGGGAATGCTGGGAATGCTGGGAATGCTGGAGATTGTGTCTGCGGGCTGTGCGTTCGGGCCCAGTCGCACAGAAATGGGGTCAGACAACAACTGCTAACATTGTCACAAGCATTCTGAGCCACCCAGATGGCAGCAGTCAGTGTCGTCATCAACAGTTTGAAAAGAACTAACTCCGCTCTGTACTACTGCTCTGACCAGGACAATCTTCTTCCACCTGCTGACACCTCACGAGAGAAGCAGGCTGCTGACCACGCGTAGATAACAACGCCCTCTGGTGGTACGACAAAGCCCAAACCAGTACAGCTGCCCAGGCGCTATGTGCTACACCGAACTTCATTTCAAGGTTCATTATCCCCGAGGAGAGATTTGATTTACGGTATATTCGATACAACAACCGACAAACATTACCAACAGAGAAGACTGTACGATCGTGTTACAGGAGATAAGAGAGTTGCTTTTTAAATAATAATTTCAACACATCACCTCCATCATTTCGGTCAGGTAACGCCAGATGTCTTTCTTCACTGGCTGTGCTCACCGGGACACTAGAAAGTTTCTCAGCACAAACACGAAAGCCTTTACACTCGCCTGCTCTTTGCCTGGTTTGTAATGCACTTCAATATACCTTCCCTCTTCAGACACGTCAAGGCAGTTCGGATTTGTATTGGGCAGATCCATCCATTCCACGCAATCTCATGTCGAGTGTTTAGTCATTACAGGAAAGCTGTTTTCTATATGCTAACGAGAGCTAATCTCTCACATTTGCTAGTTTGCTCGTGTTAAAAACAGCCGGAGTAGACGCAATATCTGAGACAATCATTTTAAAGTTGCAAATTGATAGTCACAGCTTTACCAAATTGATGTTGCTGCTTACTAACAGGGTGGACCCGAGAGTACAATAGTCCTCAATGATTGTTAAAATGGGAATCCGTAGTATTCCCATTTTACTGTATTTGCGGTGATCTATCTCGACGTGCTTTAAAGTGTTCGTTAGTAATAGTAACACATTACTGCACAGCCGGCGACATATGTTATGTACAGACTGTGCATAGTAAGACCACAAGATGAAGATGACGATGACGTACAGTATAACTGCTTTTAATGGCTGGCAATAAGCTTTTTGTAAAGGATGGCTGCCAGAAACGGGTTGGCTTACATTAAATTGACATATTCTAGATTTTTAAAAACAGCATATAAGACTAGTATGGTTAGAACCCACCGACTCTGTACTTACAATCTGAGAGAACATAAGCCAAGTATGGCACTGAGCTTCGTTATATAAGCATGTACACGTTTGCTGAGGAAAGCTTGAATTTAACTTTAACTAGAAACCACAGATCATGTTTTACTTATGATGAGAGAGACGTATTAAAATACTTCGGCTTGGTATGTTCTGTGGAGGCTGAGACGCGTGAATGACAGCGTGTTCTGATGAGGGGATGTGGTTTCGAAAAATTAAACAGAATTACGAGATGCACACGCACAAAAAAATAGCTTTTTAGTTCGCGATTCCAGCTCCGCCGCTACTGGCCTCCATCCAGCAGAGGGCGCCCGAGAGGAGATTGTAACTCTCGATCTGTTCTCCCTGATCCGGCGCCTGCTCTTCCGGGTGCCGAACAAAAGAGCCGGACTGGGTCGGTGCTCTTGCTGCTTCGTGCTTCCGAGAAGATAAACACGTCAGATTCAAAACATGGGGAAGAAACACAAAAAACACAAGTCGGAAAAGCATACATACGAAGGTAAGGATTTAAAAACGACAAGTCGGAATGCTTCTGAACTCTGTTCGCCTAACTGGCGATCTCACGTTTCATAAATAGCTGGTTATGAATTTACCGGCCTTTGTAGCGGTACTATATCATATGTATCGCATGAACTGAATCCTTCGCTGGTATTAATGCACGCCCCCATCATGATGGCAAGTTTTAATTAAAATGGTTGGTGACAGCTGTCACTCATTTGTGCATCAAAGGATAGGCCAGCTCGGCTGAACAGAACTCATCTTTACGGACATAGTGTGTTTTGCCTGCCTTTCTCATATTGATGAAACATTTTTCTATCAGTGCGTTCCTCAGCCAATAGTCTCAAATAGGGGTTCCCAACCTTTTTTGTCAGATGAACCCCCTCAACCTCAATGATTTGTTAAAGTCCCCCCTTGAGATTTTAACTAAATCAAACCTCAATAAATGTAGATAAATGCTACAGCATCCCTCTTAACACGCTTCTTATCACTCAGTAAAATATTAACATTACTACTGTTGGTTTCTTATGCTTATTATTGCGTTGTTATTTATTAATAGGACTATTTAACAACTCAAACCAAACATTTTAAACTCACTCAATGGCTCATTTGCCCTGGCATAGACCTGCTGCTGTTCTAAATCGGCTAACTTTGCCTTGAAATACTCAGCTGGTTGTGTGGCCAGGTTTGCATGTCTTGTTTCCAAGCGTCTTTTCAAGAAAACTGGTTTCATAGTTTCATCTGAGCTGCTCCAAACAAATCACACATTTAGGCAGAGGTTTGGCCTTGTCACCGTCCGTGCAGGTGAAGCCAAATTTTAAACACTCCTTGCTGTACCTGCAGAGCTTTTCCCGGTTTGGTGCTTTTGGCTTCTCCTGGTGATTTCTTTTCATAACCACGAATCTGTCCATTTTGCTACCCGTGATCACGTAGGATTAAGACATGCTAACAACATCTGATCACATGACATTCAACAATTAGGTGAATTCTGTCATTGGTTTTTGCATACAAAATCACGTTAAAGTGTTACATTTGATTGTTTCAATGTAATATATTTACTTTCATAAACTATATCTATTTTTAGGGCGTTTCTCGAAAAGAGTAGGGGTGTAACCCCGGTGTCCTGGCCAAATTTCCAATTGGCCCTTACCAATCATGGCCTCCTAATAATCCCCCTCTATGAATTGGCTACATTACTCTGCTCTCCTCCCTATTGAGAGCTGATGTGTGGGGAGCGTTCTGGCGCACTATGGCTGCCGTCGCATCATCCAGGTGGGGCTGCACACTGGTGGTGGTGGAGGGGATCCCCATTACCTGTAAAGCGCTTTGAGTGGAGTGTTCAGAAAAGCGCTGTATAAGTGTAAGCAATTATTATTATTATTATTATTATTAAAGACTAGTGCCCTGTTTTAGGCGGAATCCCGTGTAGAAGGTGGCTCGGCAGAGTCAGTGATACTAGAACAGAGCCTCCTGCCTCTCACCCTCTGCGTGCGTCGTCTCTCGCTCAGAGTACGCGGAGAAGCCATTGAAGCTGGTGCTCAAGGTCGCGGGGAACGAGGTGACGGAGCTGTCCACAGCCCCCCCCAGCCACGAAGCCAGCAGCCCCCCCGAGGAGAAGGCCGACCATGACAAGCACAAGGACAAGAGGAAGAAAAAGAAGAAGAAAGGCGACAAGGAGAAGCACAGCCCCGTGCCAGCGGGGGAAGAGAGGAAGAGGAAGAAGGTAAGGGGTTCAGTGTGGCACTTGGGCGGAGAATGTGCTGTCACCACCTCACTCCAAGACATCGACCCCTCTACCAGCGGAGGGGTGGTTTCTGGGTGGCGGCAGGCCGCTGAGAATAAGCAGGAGAGAGTCCCTGTGTTAGATCTTTGTAATTGAAGATGCTTCGGTCGAATCGAGACCTTAGACGATTTGCTGTCTTCTTTCTTTCTGCAAGATGACCAAGAGGAGGAAGGGCCAGGACTCGCTGGACACTGACCCGGACGAGCAGGAGAGGAGCCAGACCCCTGTGAGAGCTGAGGTGCCCCAGGACAAGCACGTCGGCACCCCCATAGCCCAGATGGAGGGTGAGTGGCGCCACTGGCTGTCCTTCATCGGTCCAGTCTTCCTGCAGGCACACCCCTCCCTAAATGACTCACCTCGCCTTACCCTAGTAAACTATAAGCTGCTCACACCTTTACTGCAGGTTGTTTTTTTTTCTTAAATGTTTTGCTTGAAGGTTTTTGCAGTGTTGTTTCTGCTGCCACTCTGGTGGGAGGTTTCCTTGTGGGCGCTGGTCAGTTCTGTCTGGAAATCTAGATAGAGTGGTTGTTCAGATAATAAGCAGTAATGTTCTGAAAAAAATCTGTGCCCTTTGAAGTCAAACAGTAGAAGTGAAAGAGTCAATCTGTGGGAGAAATAAGAAAGGAAATGGGAGAAACTGAACCCGGCTGATTGAGGGAGAAGAAAGGAGAGGAGCCCAAATGCCTGTCAGAGATGAGGAATCAGAATGTACTTTCCATCCTGTGACTGAAACAGCCCTTGTTGAGTTTGCTGGGGATATGAGGATTGCCTTTTCTTTTTCTGCCTCTTAAGGATTTGATTTGGCTTCAAAACAACAACAAAAAATTAGCTCCCTCTATTATAAGACTGAGAATCGAGAGAAATGCTGTGTGAGATCCCCACTTGCAACTTAAAAATGCCTATTGGGTCATTATTGACAGAAACTGGTTACCTGGATGATTGATTTGGTCACCCCAGCAGTTTCAGATTTCTATAGTTTCAGTGAGTGTTTTCCTCCTGCTCAGTAGCACAGTTCCTTGTGAAGGCTTTTACTGCAGTTATGTTGTTTTGTTATTTTTGTTTTGTTCACTTGAATTCCCATATTGTTTTTAACTCCCTGCACTTTTGTAAGTCTGCAAACTCAAAAATGAGCCATCTAACAGGTGGGTGTAACGCATCTCTTTCAGAAAAGGAGCTCTCTCCCCTCCAGGAAGCCCTCACTCAGCTCATCAGACAGCTCCAGAGGTGAGCCTTGCTGAGCCTTCAGTTTTTACTGCTTGTTTAGGGCTCTTTAATTGGATGGCTGAAAGAATTTCAGCATTTTAGACCTCTCGACTGATCAGACAGGCGGTCTGCGTGTAAACGTCTCTCTTCAGCTGTCGTTTAATTGTGTTTGGTTGGCAGGAAGGACCCCAGCGCTTTCTTCTCTTTCCCAGTGACAGATTTCATTGCCCCAGGGTACTCTCTCATCATCAAGAAGCCTATGGATTTCAGCACCATGAAGGAGAAGGTGAAGAAAGAAGAGTATCAATCTCTGGAGGAGCTCAAGGTATCCCGGTACTGCTGACAATAACAATGGCATCATCTCAGCCGTCGTGGGCTGCATATTCTTTAGCAGCTTCAGAGCCCCCTGATCATCAGTGAAGTACTGTACTCTGCTGACTAAAGGGGTAAAGCCAGCAGCAGTAGCCAGCAGCCATATCATTCTGCAACTCACAACTGGCAGCCCACTGAAGCTCAGCAGGTGTGAGCCTGGTCAGTACCTGGATGGGAGACCTCCTGGGAAACACTAAGGCTGCTGCTGGAAGAGGTGTTAGTGGGGCCAGCAGGGGGCGCTCACCCTGCGGTCCATGTGGGTCCTAATGCCCCAGTATAGTGACGGGGACACTGTACTGTAAACAGGCACCGTCCTTCGGATGAGACGTAAAACCGAGGTCCTGACTCTCTGTGGTCATTAAAAATCCCAGGGCGTTTTTCGAAAAAGAATAGGGGTGTAACCCTGGCGTCCTGGCCAAATTTCCCGTTGGCCCTTACTAATCATGGCCTCCTAATAATCCCCCTCTATGAATTGACTTCATCACTCTGCTCTCCTCCCCACTGCCCACTGAGAGCTGATTAATTAAAGAACTCATCAACCTCAGCTTTGAAAGAACTTAGTCTCTGTGGATTGTAGGATGAACCTCTGGGGAGTTCTCAATATTACGCCTGCTGCTGTTTTTGCTGGTGCTGTCTTGGTTGTTGATATTTGTTTTGTCAGTGCTTAAATTGCTCATTCAGTTGAGTTTATGTGCTGGCAGTGTAATGTGGGCCAATTAATTGTGGCTGCCTACTGTTCCTGCTTGTCTATGTCTGACAGAGAGAAAATATGCACTGCACATAAAGTGAACAACAAGGCTTGCCTAGACCAAATCTCCTGTTTGTGTTTTAACGCAGGCGGACTTTAAAATAATGTGTGAAAACGCAATGATATACAACAAGCCAGAGACCATTTACTACAAAGCTGCCAAAAAGTTGCTTCACTCTGGAATGAAAATCCTGAGTCAGGTAAGCAAAGCTTAGCATTGGAGGACTTCAAATGTGCACTCTGTTTCACCCTCTTTGTCTAATTGGTTAGCAGAAACCTGATGCATGATGAAGACAAAGGGTTAATGGTAGACTTGCTGGTGATCTTCAAGCACAGCGTCGCTCGTGTTACAAGGCCAGTAGGTTCAGTCGGTTTGGAGGAACAGTGGTACAGAGGAGACTGTTGAGACTTAAACAGAATTGTTAATCAAATGCGAGTCTGGTTTCTTGCTAATTGTGTGCTCTGCTTCTTTCTTGTGTTGTTGTCAAGGTATTGTACTGGTAATTTAACTTGAGAAGAATGTTATTTTACCATGCAATTGACATACAATAACATCAACGTGACTCTTGGTGTCGTAGCCCAGCTGGAACAGCAGAGGGCGCAGAAGATCTGCTTGGTGTCAATGGCTGCTCTATGAGCAGTGGGGGCAGAGAGCTGGTGTTAAGAAAGAAGTGCATGTGGAGTATCTGACAGGATGATCTGGACAGGCGCAGGTCTGAGTTCATGCTTTGTGCACCGAAAGCTTGAGAGGATTCTTCCCGACTAACTGCTGATTTTATGAGGAGAACAGACCCTTTGGAGTGTCCTGGCTCTCTGTTTTTCTAAACTATAAAAATGGCCTTAAAGCGAGAGCACAGTTTTAGGGACTAAAGGGCGGCAGCTATGTAAACAATGACTGAACCCGCTTCTCCTCAGAAGAAAGGAATTCTATGATGTGTCTCTTTCTCAAGCATCAGTCCCACTCTCTGTGGTTGACTTGGCTTGGGGGTGGTTGTCTCACATACTAATCCAATGCATTTGAGCTTTTTTTAATGAAAACAAACTAAAAATAGTTCACGAAACCACGGGCCAGTAACCTCTGTTCTGATTGTCACTGGCCCCAGTTTGCGTTAATCTATCTATAAATAAAACATTGGCTTGGCAGTGGAATATCGTATTAAGTGTGAGAGCTGCCTTTTGATTAGATGCTCAGACCCAGCCTGTTTGTTTCCTTTGATTGTAATAGCCTGCTCCAGATCTCAAAAGTAGTTTTAATTGGTCATACCTAGTCTTAGCCATCCCAAATCAGTAGACTGACTGCTTTACACCTGGGCGGGATGCTGTTATATCATAACAACTATCCAGGTCAGGAAAACGAATCTAACAAAACTGAAAGTGAATTGCTTTTTAGCTTGCAGGGAAATCTATCCAAAAATAATGGGAGGGATTGAGAAACTCCTCCAGATGGTTTTATTTTTCTGGCAATGGAGGTGTCTTTTTTTCTAACAGCAATGTCTGTCTTGCAGAATCAATATTTTTATAAACATGGCAGTGAATATTATATTTTTAATCCCGGTTAAGGTTGCTATATTCTAAGATAGTTTCACATACATAAAAGAACAAGAACTCTTTGTAATCGGTTTACCTTTGTAAGAGTTTGTCTTCATGATTCAGAGGCAGAGTGACTTCTGGCCACTGTGCAGCAGATACTGCACTGCTCTCTTAATCTTATACCTCTCGGGTTTCCTGTGAAGTGTGCAGTGATTATAGCGCTGTATTGCAGCTATAGTTCAACAGCTGTACAGCAATGCTGTGGGCAGAGTGAGGTTTCAGTGAGTTTCTGGTCGTACAGGAGAGACTCCAGAGCCTGAAGCAGAGCATTGAGTTTATGGCTGACCTGGAGCAGCCCAACACGCCGAAAGAGCAGGGACAGGCTGTGAAGGAGGGAGACTCCACCTTGGACCAGCCGAAAGATCCAGGGGAGCCTATGGACACCACCGAGCCCACAAAATCGCCAGGCAGAATAACCAAGGACAGCAGGAGGTAACATCACACATCAGCACTGCTGAGAGATGCTACTCACTCCCGTAATCCAGTACAAAAACTCCAGAAAAATAATCCAGTACACTGTTTGACATAAAGATTTGTTAGATTAGTTATGTGCTATAAATTCTTATAATGGTTATCTTCTTGCATCCCCCTTGCACCTCTATGGGTACAAATGTTCACAAATTCTCACTCGAGAAGCCAGTTTTCTTCAGGCAAGTCTACACAGGGAAATGGTGTTGATATTGTAACTCTCTGATCTGCTGATGCAGAATCTGTATATTTGTGGGGTTTAAGAGCCAATATAACAAAACTTCATTGCTGAATTGTCAGGTGCTATTGCCTAAATGGAATGATGGGTTTTCCAGCAAGTCTTCCTAGTAAATAAGTCCCTCCACTCTTTTGCAGGGGATGTGCAGAAATGTTGAGAGCACAAGGAATGCCATTTTCAGGTTGAATCTTGTCCATTAATGTTCCACCACTCATCTAGGTGGAAAAATCAAGTTGCAGGTCTCTAGAGTGTTTGATCTTGTGCAGTCTCACCTTCTACTTTCCACAGCAATACAGTATAAAAAGGGAAAAAACATTTTAGGAAAAATAACTCTGGAATTTCACAGAATATTGGGGAGGGATTGGCTCTATCAATAGAGAATCCTAGAGTGACTCTGTACAACAAAAAATCTAAAGTTGTTTTTCTTCTGGAGGCTGCTGATTCCAACACAGACGACTGTTCTCTACCTCATATTTATTATACTCTCTGTCACTGTGTGAATGCTTCCCATTCACATATCTATTGAATTCCCTGACACTTGTTCCCTTTGAACCATTCATTAAGCTTAGCAGTTGCTTAGAAAGATGAGAACGAGTTAGAGTAGATCTGCCGGGTCTCATTCCTGCTTTTCTGAAGGGCGCTCTATGTGCTGTGTTTTGTTCTACCTGGATTGTCACCAGGCAGGACAGAGACTCCAAGGACGACGTGCTGAAGGGGGGTCTTGTGCCGGAGAAAGAGCTGGAGATGATCCAGAAGCTCGTCGAGGACTCTGGCGGCAGGCTGAGCAGCAGGGAGGTTCAGAGCCAGGTATGGGGAGCTGGGGGACTGGGCTTTGTGTCCTCATTGAGAGGAGGATCCCGAGCTCTTGCGTGCCAGTGAGAGACACCAGTCCAAATTACACTGGAGTATCATCTTTCCCCCTTGCTTTGGATGAACACGGTGCTGCTTGGAGGCCTGCCAGTATCTGCATCCAGAGCTGACTTGATCTTTTCTGCTTTAGCTGCAGTTTGAGAGGCGGAAGACTGATGGGACCACAACCCTTGGAGTCCTCAACCCTGCAGACCTGTCGGCAGGAGGTAGGGCCCTGGAGAGCTGGACAAGAGGCACGCGATCCTCAGCAAGCTCTGAAGAGAGCATGGAAGTTTCTTTCTGGGTTAGCTGGAAGGCTACAGGCTGCATGTTGGCAGCGCCTGTCAAAGATTTGCTGGAGAGCTGTTGCTTCATGTTCAGCTGTGTTCTCTCAGAATTGGTTATTTTGGTTCCCTGAGGTTTACAAGATTCCAGGAACTCATTCCAGCGAACGAGCAAGTGTCATAGGCACGTTTCCAGCATTCGTGATTGGTTTTTGTTTTTGCCCCCTTGTTCTGTAGAACCCGGGTACTGCCCTGTGAAGCTGGGCATGATGACAGGCAGGCTGCAGACTGGCATCAACACGCTACAGGGTTTTAAAGAGGACAAGCGGAACAAGGTGACTCCAAGTGAGTTCCAGTGCTGCTCAAAAATGATTTTTTTAAATCACCTTGCACATCCATTTGTACCTGAAGACTGTTCAGTCTTAAGTTGGATCAGGAAGTCTTAAAAACAAACAAAAAAAAACGGTGTGAGAGCATAAAAGCAATCATTGTGCTGTTATCAAATATCTGTAGATGCAGCTCCTCAGTGGCCCATATTTAACTAAAGGGTAGGTTGTGCCTTTGTCTGAGTAATCATGCCTTTTTTTTCCCCCACAGTCTCATACATGAATTATGGGCCATTCAGCTCTTACGCTCCAATTTATGACTCCAGCTTTGCCAACATCAGCAAGGAAGACTCAGACCTGATCTATTCCTTCTATGGAGAAGAGCCCAGTCTTCAAGGCTCAGAGAGGCAAGTACTGTATCCACGTTTTCGACTTCCAGAGGGTAGAGACACATGGCTTCACAGCCAAGACTGCATGAGCACTTAATTTGAAAGTGCATTGATCTTTTAATCTCCCCAGATGATAGTCAAGTTAAACATAATTAGTAATAGCTTTTACAGTTAAAAAAGAGGCATTATGAAAAGCAATAAATGCTTTTGTTTCCAATACGAATTAGTTTCAATTTTAAAGCCTTGGTATGTATTCAGAGTTCATTTTGGACGGCGCCCTGATTTGGATCAGATTCTTCTGCTGTTGACACAGCCAGAGGTTAGGAGAGGAGAAACCTTTTCAAATCCTTGAAAGGGTCTGTGCCAGACATTTTGTCCCTGCAGCCTCATCACTGAAGCCAGAAAGTGATGGTTTTGTAATGAGATATGTAAAGCTGAAAACTTATTGTCTGTGTGCCTAAAAGCAGCGTTGCAGTTCTGAAATGAGCTTTTGTACCTTTTGAGGTTTTCCTTGTCTTGTTTGCCCTGCTCTTCACGTCAGGCTAGGGTGACAGGGTCTTGTGCAAAGCTCATTCACCAACCCCTGATATAGCAGACAAGGAAAACCAATGTTGTATTGTTCAACAGCATTCAGGAGTTTCTTTCCAAGGCGGGTGAGCATGTGTGCCACGCAACAGACAGTTTTCTGGATGCCCTGACCAATGGAGATCACTCCAGGATGCTGAAGGAGATGGAAATGGTAGGAATGAGTGATCTGTCCAGTGAGCACTCTCCGCTCTGCAGAAGTGAGGACACAACACATGTCGAGCTCTATAGTACAATCACAAGTTTACCTAGAATCTGACAGCAAAAACAAATTTGGTTATTTTGTGGTTTCGATGTTGCTTTGACATTGTAAATATATGTAAAAAAATGGTAGGAGAGACGTACTGTTTTTGAAGATCGGTACTGCTGCCTGCCTTTGCATGTGAATTGCATTGCACTTGATTTAATGTCACAGTAGATAGGGGGGCCTGAGCACAGCAGGCCTGGAGTTTGCCTAAACAAACAGCGTGCCTCCCCGCAGCTGGACTGAGATGAGAGTAGTTCAGTTTGAATGGGTAAACTGTAGTAAATCCTCACAGAAGCCTTTGATCCTACCACAAAGAGCCTAGATTATTTTTTCAGTGATATAAAAATCTCTGATTTGTCAAATCGGAAAAATATACAATTGGTTATTCACCTCATTCAGTTACATTGAGTTTGCAGAACTAAGATTCAACACCTAGTACAGTCTTGGTGATATGTATAATTATAGATTCTGTTAACAGGGATCAGCTGAACATGAGACTACACATAAGAGGTGCCATATGGCCCATCTGTCTTTTTCCAGTACTTAGTACCTAATTTATTGGAGGATCTCATCCAGCTGCTTCTTGAAAGAAGCCCGCGTTTTGGTTTCAATAACTTGGCTGGGTAATTTATTCCAGATTCCCACACCTCTCTACGTTACAAATAATGCCTCCTCAGATTTAACCTCATTTCAGTTCTCTGGATGTGTTTCACTCTTGATCCTGAAGTTCCTTTCTCTGAGAGTTCTGTGTAAATGTTAGTGGCACTCTGTATCCTTTTCCTCTGTCTCCGACAATCCAGGAGGGCGAGGAGCAGACGGACGGGCCTGAAGCAGCGAGCGATGCGGAGGTGAGTCTGGCCCGTCTCTCTCTCCTCTGCAGAGCGCCGGGCTCGCCGCAGTCTGGACTGGCGCCGGTGCTGGTCCGTGAAGACAGAAGGGGGGGGTGGGGTGGTGAGCAGGATGTTAAATTCATCCCAAAAGAAAAACCAAGACAGGATTCCTATCACAGGGTGATCTTCCAAGAGAGAACCGATTAAGTTGCGAATTCAGGGTTGGAAAGCTGTTTCCGTGCATGGTGTGTAATATTCCAAGAAATATCGGGAGCCAGGTTAAAAAAAAAATCAGAGATCCCAGTAACAGCACTGAGAATTATTTGGTTGGTGGGAGTTTGATTGTTGGGTTACGTGTAGTGGAGGCGTCACAAAGCAGTTGGCTTCTCTTTGAAATGTATTTCCGAACTGGAGGAACAACAGTGAAGATCACTTTTTGGGACATATGTGTAATGAATGTCAAGCAGGGATCAGAAGTTTTCGACAGGCAGGTTGACAGACAGAAGGGTAGAAATGACAGGTGGAGGTGCGAGAGAGAGTTAGTGTGCTGCTTGGAACTATTTTTACTTTTTTTTACCACATATGGCAGTAGAATTAGCATCTTGTAGCCTGCTCTCATGGGATCTAGCTTCCTAGGGCTGGTCGGCACTGGGGTGAGAGACCTCCTGGGCAAACCAGAGGGGTTGGTGGACGAACAGTGCCCAAGTACAGTGTCGGAGGGGCACTGTGCTCTGGATACATCTTTCAACCGATGTCCTGAGTAGTTTATCCCACTCTGGGCTTGAACTGTGTGGCCCATAGAAAATTCAATAAAAATAAAAGCAATTCAATAAAAAGCAAAATTCTCACTTCCCTATGTATTGGTATTGTGTTTTGTGGCTGTTGGTGAATGATGGCACGTATATTAGTAGCAGTATATAAAGGCTAGGAATTAAGTATGCCTGTCCATTGGAGACTTGTGTGATGAGCTTACACTTTGCAATATTCTTCTTACCCCAGATTTCTTCTCCTTCACAGATAATCGACCCCGAGAACAGCAGCAGGAGCATCCTCACTGCCCTGAGCTCTGTGGTGGGCTTGGATCTGGAAGGGCAGACATTTGACTCTGAAGGTAAAGAGCTGAAACCCTCAGGTATGTGGTCTGAATGAAGGATATGGGAGTGTATATATACTGTAAGGACACTGATGTAATTTGGCCACAAAGGGAATTTGTATATCAAAAGTCATGTATTGCAGTGGTTCTCAAACTTTTTGGACCAAGTACCACCCCTGATCAAACCAAGGCATCCAAGTACCACCTACAAGTCATCTTCTCAAAGGAACCAAAGGAACCATCTTCTCAAAATCTCAATGACCAACATGAGCACGCGTGCATGCGCACACACTCACATAAACTTATAATAAATATTATAATAAACTTTATTTGACATAGCGCCTTTAACGGTGGCTTCTCAAAGCGCTTTACAGGATGACAACAGGAACAACAACAATTAAAAATAAACAATAAAGAAGCACCTTTTCAGTGAGAGAGGTGGGCCTGTTTAGTCTAGCAAAGCAGATGTGAATTGTATCAAGGCTCGACCAATGAATTCACAACAGAGTCTAAAAGATTTTAAAACGTCTGGCATTTTCTTGACGGTGGATGCTGCGGTGCGTCCACTTCACATCTGGAGCACCCTCTCGAATTCGTGCAACCACACCGCTGTGTCGGCTTGTCATTGCTCTAGCACCGTCTGTACAAACTCCGACGCATTTTTTCCAGTCGAGGCCATTCTCTTCGGTAAATTCATCCAGAAGCTGAAATATGTGCTCTCCTGTAGTTCCTGTTGGTAGCGGCTTACAGAACCGAAAGTCCTCATGGGACATACCCTCAACCTCGTATCTAACGTAAACGAGCAAATTAACCAATTAAAGGCATCTATAGACTCGTCTAATTGCAGTGAAAAACAGCTGCTCATCTTAACGTGCTCTACCAGTGTACTTTTGACATCATCCGCCATATCAGTAATTCTGTGAGTGACTGTGTCTTACGAAGGGGGCAGCAGGTCGAGTTGTTTAGCAGCTTTTGCTCCACACATAATATGCGTCGGCTCTTTTGCCAACGGTAAACAAAGTTCTTAACAAGTAGTGTGGGGCTTACCTTTATTGGCCATATACAATTTCTTACATTAGGAATTTCTTTTCACTTACCCCAGCTTGCTCTCCCTGAGACACACAGGCTTACCTGCTTTAGCAATCCGCAAGCTTGCATTTTCCCTGTTTCTGTTTCAGAAGTCTGTCTCAGAAGTTAAAAGAAGTTTTTATTTCATGCGTATGGGAGCAAAACACAGA